ACACTTCAGCATTTGGAAGAAGGGAAAAATCTTCCTGGGGACAGAAACTTGTAGCCGTTTCCAGAAGGAAGTCTCAAAGGGCGCGTGGGGGCAGCGGGAGTGCCGGTGGGCAATGGGAGTGTGCTCAGCCTGGTGGTCTGTGTGTGCCAGTGGCCATTAGGAGGGGGCTCGGGTGACGCCTCGCTGTGCTGCTGCAGAGATAGCTCCTTCAGTTCAAGCTTGTCTGCTCCTTCTTCCTTCTTGTTGTGCCGAGGCGACAAATTTAACAGACTGAGGACATCTCTCTTCGATGTCATCGTTCCTGGGGGCCCACGGAATATTTTCATGGGCCCTGGGGGATGTTGGGGTGTGCTCTGCCAAAACATCTTCAGGTTGTGGATGGCCTGCACCTTCTCATCAATGGCTGCCATTTTCAGTTTGTCTATGTCTGGCGCATCTGCTGGGCTCGAACGAGCTGAACCCGCTGAAGAATAGGAGAGAGCTGGGGATGGTGCACTACCAGCAGGAGACTGGTGGCCCGAGCTTGGGGACATGTTCCTTGGGGACTTGGAAATATGAGCACTGTAAGGAGAGCTGGGGTACTTGAGTTTAAAGAGAGGCTGGTCAGTCAGGGACGCCTGGGAGTCGGAGCCAGGTGAGGGTTGGCGGCTGTGCTGGCTCCGGCTGTCTTTGAAGGATGTCTCCGAAGTGGTGGGGCTGTTATACCCTGAGCTCACCTTGGGGAGGGATGAGCTTCTGGCTGGGGGCTTTGGCTTAACAGTAAGTGGTGACTGTTGGCTCTTTTGATGGGAGAGGACAGGCCTGCTGAATGCACTCGTTTCTGATGCTCTGAAGACAGCAGTGCTGTTAGACATGGAAGTGCTGTCATCGGAGCTCTTACCCTTGCCCACTTGACTGCCACTTCTTTGAAGCCGCTCCACTGCCATGAGATGGCTCTGGGTCTCCTCTAGGATTTTCTGGGCTAACTCTTGTGGATCGAGCTTGGAGTTGCTCTCCTCTTGGGATTTCACCGTGCTATCTGTCTCTGTGCTGGATTGGTCTGATTCTCCAGTATCTGAACTTGCTAGTTTCCCCACCTTTTGGAAGGGGGAGTTTGGGCTGGGAATGAGTGGCATCTTGACTGGGGAGTTTGGGGTACTGACAGAAACTCTCAGGCCACCAGCTGTCCCGACTCTGGGCTGCCTGTGATCTGGAGAGAGTCGTGTCAGAGGCTCCGTGCTGATGATGGCAAAGCCTTCATACTCGTCTTCATCTTTGCTGCCTGCGGTGCGGGTCTGTGGGGACATCTGGCACCGAGGCAAGGTAGACCTCTGTGGGTAAGTGGTTTTGGACCGGTCGTAGTCATGTCGTCCTCTGGGGCCTCCCCCTTCTAACCCTACCTCAGGCTTGGAGACATAGCTCATGGAGGAGGCGATGGAGCTCAGGCTGTACACGGAGATGGCGTCCGAGGCCATGCTGTCTGCACCCGTGGGCGAGAAGGGCGGGGGCTGGCAGCCCAGGGGCAGGGCGTTACACACCGACTGGGCTGACGCCAGAGACTCCAGCGAGGACGAGCTGTCTAGGCTGAGGCGCTTGGGTAGTTCGGTGGAATCTAAGTATAAAAACACAAGTGTCCAAAAGGTGGTTAGAATTCTATGTGGTTTTCAGTCTCTGTCAAAATCAAACACCCTTGTATGCTTAACCAAACCCACTGCTGTAGAGCTGATCCTGACTCACAGCAATCCTAGAGCACAGAGTACAGCTGTTCCCTAGGGTTTCTGAGACTGCTAGGCAGCCTCCTCTTTCTCCCATGAATTGGCTAGTAGGTTCAATCTGCTGACCAACGCTTAACCCATTATAGGCTGTTGTTAAGTACCATTCAGTCGACTCTGTATCATAGCGACCCTATAGGGTTTCCGAGGAATGGCTGGTGAGTTTGAATCACCAGCCTTGTGGTTAGCAGTCTAATACTGATCCAGAAGTCGACAAAGCATTATGTAAGGGCTACTAAGGTACTCTTTGAATTAATCTTATAAATTCTGAAGAGCAGGGCCTTGTTGGAAAACAAAGTCAATCTTACACGGAAGGAAGCTCCCAGGCCTCAGCCCTCTGCCCTCCTGCTCTGCTGGGGCTGAGCCTGCACTCCTCTCCTAAACTCCTCCATGTTTCAGTGCCTACATTCCCTCTTCACACTGGCCCTCTCTGATAGCTAAGATTCCAGTGTAACCCATTCTTCCTGCCTCCCTCCTAGTGTTGGTTAGCAGCAGCTCCACTATCCCCTCTGTGCCCTCTCTCAGCACACAAGTTTCAGCAGGTCCTGCTGTCAACACATCCTTCCTCTTCCCACAGCAGTCAGCACGGGCAATTCGGAGTAGGCATTAGACCAGGTGTTCCTGGCAGGCCTCATCCGGCCCTCCTTTCCTCTTCCTTCACTTGTTACTGTCTCAGGCACACTGTAGGGGGGCGGGAGTATCAGAAAGTGTGTGGAATAATGGAGATAATAATTTTTCCACCAACTGGCAACCCCCTGGTATGTCTCCCTCTAAAACACACATGGTCATCACCAGGTGTAGGACAGTAGTCCTACCCCAGGGTAGAGTAGACTGTATGGGAGAGGACACAGTCATTAAGCAAGGCTCCTACCGAAGAGGGACAGCAGGGACTGGAGCGCAAAGTGCATGGTCCGCCGGTTGGCCTGCTTTCCAGTTTTCAGAATCACTTCCTCCTGACCAACTTCACAGAGGTCAAAACCTGGAGGAACAAAGACATAAACATACTTATGTTATATTCCATATCTTGAAATGAAGGGGGCTGTGGAGCTCCTCAGGCAGTTCTGTGGGCAGCCACTCTAGGCCCCTCTGCTGTTCTCTCAGATCCCGAGGTGGTGCTGGCCCCTGTGCACTCGTGGAGCCCTGGTAGTTCAGAGGTTCTTTAAGCTCCTGTCCTGTTCCTGCTCTTTCACAGAACAACAGTGAGATGCAGGGCTCCTGGGGGCAACAGTGTGCCCCTCCATGGGGCGCTGGGTCAACTAACACTGCTGCATGGGAAGGGGGAACCTTCTCATGACATGTCGTGGTAAATGTCTGCTGCCTAGGACCTTCCTAAATGCCAAGGGTGTAGTCAGGTCTTAGAATGGAGTGCTTGCTGGTGAAGAGAATTTGCTTTCTTGGCTGAACTGCCCTGCAGGGAACTCAGTTTTGCCAAAGTCCAGGGGGGTCCTACGATGATGATGAGATGCAGAACAGGACACAAAATTCCTGGGCAAGAGGCCCGCTAATGCGCTATTGACACAGCACTGAGCCCAGAAGGAGGCAGCCATACAGCCATGACAGCAGCCCAGGTGGGGACACTAGGCCAGGACAGAGGCCTGAGCACCTCCTTCAGGAGCCACACTCTACATGGTGCTGAGTGAATGCTTGATGTGGCAGCCCCAGGCCCCCAGTGCCTGCTTCAGGGGTCCTGCACATGCCTGCCTGACAGGGTTCACAGAGGGAGAAACTAGGCTTTTTTTTTAAACTTAAAGACCTAACACACCAGTCTAAACATCCTCACTCCCATTGGAATTAAAATCCTGGAGGAGCCACTCAGCACCTGGTTGCTCTGGGGAGTTTCCTTTCTGAACTCACACACAGTTCCCACAAACAACAGGAAGGCACCATGCTCCGAGACTGTAGCACTGATGAATGAATAATGGATAATAATTTGGCATTTGTAAGAACACAAATGCTTCAGATGAAAGCTTCCACTTTCACCAAAATTATTTCAATTGGTTACTCCAGGAGAACAGAATCCTCTTGACAACCTGGCGGCTGGCTGTGATGCAGGTGGACGTGTGGATGAAGGGCTGGGGCTTAAGTGCTTACGCCAACCCTGGTAAGGGAGTACTCTGGCAACCAGAGCTCCTCCACAGTGTCACACACCGGCCAGACTCACCCCTGCTCCTGAGCATCAGCGGGAGTGAGAAGGTTCAGAAAAGCATGGGGACATCAGTCAAGGTGTATGGAGTTCTCTCTTGGACTTATGTACCTGCCAAAGGGGAATGGCTGTGTGTCCAGTTCACAGAGGAAAGCTGGTGGGAAAGTGAGTGTTCGCTCTTCACTTAGTCACCAGAATTCACCACTGCAGTGGATATGACCACCTATGCTACTGTCCCACAACCTGTCCTGGAAGTGAGAGGAAATCTAGCTTGGTTGTGGCATCGGTGATTCCTACTCCATAAAACATCAATGCTTTATACCAAGTAGGCTATGTTTTATGGTTTTTTTTTTTTAAGTTTTTATTGTGAATTATGTGACAGTTTACATGGGAGAACATTAGCTTTACATGCATCCTATCTTATTTCATTTCATTGCAATGATTACAATTCCCTGCATGCATCACTAAACAACCAAAGGGTACAACCCACAAGCCTACCCCTGGCCGTCAATACACAGCCCCTCTCCCTCCCAGAGTCCAGAGTCCCCAGCTGCTTCATCTCTCCATGTCATCATCTCTGCTTCCATCTCTGGCATTGCTGCTTTGCTGGGTAGGGTCCCCACACTCTGCTCTTCTCCCTAGATGATACCAAGAATCTCCAATCCTCACAGTCAGTCCTGATAACAATTATTCACTATTGTACCACAAGAGATCTAGCCCCACCCAGACAGATTGGATACTACTCAGTGGAGATTCTACTTCCTCCGCGCTCTCTGGATCTAGGCTTCCTCTTGAAAGCTTGTAAGCCAGTCACTTCTTGCCTTTGCAGCCACCCCTACCCCCACCCCATTTTGGGTAGCCAATGTCCAAATTGCCTATCCTATCTACCCTATGAACTGAGGGGGTGGGGATGATCTTTGTTGTAAAGATTTGTTCCCTCTTTTGAGCTATTGCATCCATAGGTGTAGGTCAAGTTCATCAAATTGTATCAGAATACTCTTTTTTTTCCCCCTTCTTCTTTCTTCTTCTAGTCGTGTTCTGATCATCCAGCTATTGAAGCCAGGTCAAGTGGATATTATCTGCATGTGTGGGTGTTCTTGTGCCATCTCCCCTCACTTCATATCAGCTGGACGCTTTACTCTCCACTCTAGTCCTCTGTGGTCATGTCACTGACTCTGGGTCACTGATTCAGGAGTCCCCAGGTCTTGCCACACTGCTGACCAATCAGGTCTCCACCCAGATTTACAGGAGTCTACTGAACACAGTTGGACTTTAGCTCACAGCTTCACTGCTGTTTTCTCCCACTTCCCCTTGCCGGTGACCAACGTGGTCACCAGTCAGACCACATGCCAAGCAGGCTATGTTTTAAATCCACAGGAAAAGAAACAAGTTGTGTAAAGGACTCTAAAAGAAGCGACATGTCTGAAAACAACCAGAGCCAGCCAAGGCTAAAGGAGTCAGGAAGGTCCACAACAGAGCCAGGAGAAGACGGCCAGCCAGTCCTGAACACCGAGGCCCAGGGGGCACAGCCCAGTGATGCCATGGAAGAAAAGGCTGATGACAGCCAAGGAGACGCTACGAAGCAGTCTGACTCTAACACATGAAGTGGGCCTGCCGACAGTAAGATGGCTGGTCATTGGAGCACGGGCTCTCCACCCCACTGCTCCTCAGGGGCTCTGGCTCAGCAGTGCTGTGCCTCCAGGCCTGGGTCCTAACGCCTGCTCCCCACACAGCCAGCCAGTCCCTTTGCCCTGCTGCTCCGCATGGTCCCAGTGCACTGTCACCATCAGTGCATTGATTCTGATAGAATGTCAACACCAGGAGGACGGGGGTTGTGTCTGCTCACTGCTGTAGCCCTAGGACCTAGGACACTGGAACACAGCAGGTGTTCAGTAAAAATGCCCCCCCCCCCCCCTCCCCAACACAGGCAGGGAATGAGGAGATGTGCCTGGACTTCTGGTGGTGGGTGACATCAGGGACACCCAGTGTGTGTAAACAATTATGCCAGGCATTCCTTAGCCATGCCAACAGTGCTGAAGGGGGAAAGACCAGTGTCCTGGATTGAATAGCATTCGGGGAGGAGCCTTTCCTAGGGCCCTGGTCAAAGCAAAGTTGATGACTGGACTTCTAAGTACTCTTTAGCTCTTAATCACGGCTTGGACCCCAGTGCTATTGGAATATAGCAGATGAAGGTATTAGGTACAAGTAAGACAAGTTAAATGATCATGTAAAGCAAATGGGACAAAGCAGAAGGGTAATTTAGGAATCATGTTAAAGCACTAGAATCTCTGAGCGTTTAAAAAATATCTAAGAAAGCACTGAAATAAGATTCCTACAAGTCTATAAACAAAACCAGGAAGAAAATAAATTATAAAATGACCAAAGAAATCAGTTAAGGCAAGGAAGTATGTTCCTACCTAGAGCTGCCAGGAACTCGTGACATCCCGGGAGCCGCCACAGTTGGACGCTGATGGAGACCTGGATGGGCGCTGACGCAAAGTCTTGCTCCTTCTCGCCAGCCTGGAGCTGGACCAGCACCTGGTGGAGCTGAGGGAGGTGCCGACGTGAGTACATTTCTCCTTCGCCTCGGGCCCTCCTCCAGGTTGTTCCCAAGTTGTTACTTCTAGGTCACTTCACATGTGTATGACATTTGAGGTTTTTAAAAGTGTCTTCACACCTATTACCGTGTTATTTTCTCTTGGCAAAGGTTCAGTCCAGTCCAGGCATGACCAACAAAATGACATGAGAGCAGACCCAAATTTGTAAATGTGGGTGAACTGGAATGCTAACCAGAGCGGGAAAAATGCCCTGCAACGCCCTGCTAGACAATGCTCTTAGAAACAAGAGCAGTCAAAAACAGCAGTGTCCGCCTCAAAGATGACAGCCAGCTCTGTCCACAGTCCTGGCAATGACTTCCCAGTCTCCCACTCCATAGCTTCCACCCATTATGGTTAATGTTCTAAATCACCCAAATTTTTAAAAAATTGGGTTTGTTTTGGATGCACTTTGTGGACTCTGACTGAACTGGACTGAAGTCCTGGACAAGAGCCAATAGGGTCAGACACTAGGTAGCTTATTTACAAGTCGTGCCTTAGCCACGCCATCAGTGTTAAGGGAAACGTGGGTGTCTGGGCTGAACAGGTTTCTCAGATGTACTTTTCTAGGTGCCGAGGTCAGATCAGAGGCGGCCAGTGATGGAAGCACTGGGACCTAGCCTGGCCCCCAATAGACATTTGCTGATTCCAGTCCTGACATCTTCCCCAGCAGACTCAAGGGATCACTGAGTACAGGGGGCGGGATTAGTGGGCCGAAGAGAGGTGGATTGTAAGACAGGACACATCTCTCTCTTTATGATCTTGAGGTAAATGGTAAAGCAGAATCTCATGGTTAGTTCCGCAGCACTTGAAGAAAGGCCCATAGAGCCAACTCAAGGGCCCACAGCAGGTCGGGTCTCCCAAGTATGAGCTCGGTCAGGACCTCTGGGCAGTTCTGCCCAGCTATTCAGGTGGAATGTGGAAGGTCAAATCAAGAGCACAAGAAGGGTGTAGTAGGAGAGGGGGAGCCAGAGCAAAGGAGGGGACAGGTGGCCCACCAGCAGCCCTGGTGTCGCCCAGAGTGTGTGAGCGTGCACATGCCGAGGTCAAGGCAGCCGCACCACGGTCGCCGGGGGTGTGGCGGGGTCAGGGCTCACCTGATAACACAGCTGCTGCTAAAAGCGGTACTCACCATTCCAACCATATTTTTAACAGCCTTCGGCCAGCAGATTAGAAGAAAAAAGAAAGAAAAAGAGAGAAAGAAGAGAGTTTAGACTCAAGCACAGGTGGTTATGCAACCCGAGCTGACCATTGCTTTAGGAAGCGTCACACAGGCCCGCGGCTCTGACTGGGATGGGAAAGGAGCAAGAATCAGCAGGGACACAAAAGAAAACGGACAGTCATGCCACGCCAGGCAGGCCCTGTGGAATGACCAGGGAATGTCCACCAGCCGACAGTCTCAGGACCTCTTCCCTGGGGCCTGGCAAGTATATTTGGTGGAAAGCCCTGTGCTCCCACACAAAGAAAGAGATTAAGCAACTGGCTTGTGTGCACTCCCAGCCCATGCCTGAAAATGTCATTCTGGCTTTCCCTGTAGGACTTGGTGTTTAACCCTCCTGGTCTTTGCTCTAGAAGTGTCAACAAGCACATGTGGTACACTGACGACACACCGATCAGGGACACATGTGGACATGATTCCAAGGCTAGCTGGCAGCAGTCCCCAGCACAGGCCCAGGAGTCACTAGGCATCTCAGAGGCTCAGCCTAGAGGCAGGGACAGCTCTGCTCACACAGAAATACTTCTACTTCAAATGAAACCACTGACAGACATCTCTCATTACCATGAGCATTATGGTTTCAAATAGTTCTTCTCCAAGAAGACCTGAGAAAAGTGCTCCTTGGGGTGCCAGAGTCATCACGGAAGCCTCAGCCAGAAGTCAGACATGCATTTGGTCTGGTGGAAGAGCGTGCCTGAGTGTTGCCTGCAGCCTGCCTCGCCAGTCTGTGGCTGGCTGTGTTCACCTCTGATGTGTCTATAAGGACCGGGACCCCTGTCATTCCGCTTGGTGACCACACACACTCTAGCTTGCTTAGGATGGCTGGGGTGAGTGGACAGTAAGGACTGCATGTCTTTTGCATCGAGAGGATGCTGCACTGAGAAGTTGGTCTCCACACCCTTCCCTGATTTGTGTCACAAAGGAAAGTGATGTTCCATCACTTGCAGGTCCCTGTTTGGGGCCATACCACGTGTTTGTCAGCTGGGCAGGACCCCAGGCCTGGTGGGCACTCACCCGGCTGATGAGCTGCTCGCCTGTCTCTGAAGCAGTGAGGAGTTTGCAGAGTGCCTGAAGGGCAGGACTGGGCAGACCTGGATGGAGAAAGAGGCAGGCATTATCTGGGGATCTTCTTCAGGAATGATGCCACAAAACACTCCACAATTCCTGGTGGCCCTGAAAAGCTGGTATGGGTGGGCATGTGCTTGTGGGCCTGGCATAGAACCTGAGGTCAGAGGCAGCAGGGCAGGCTGGATCAGCCCCTCTGCATCACCCCCGGGCACCCCTGGGGCCATTGTCCCAGGCTCCTGCCCTGCTCTCAAGGCCATCCAATGGGGACAGTTCTGCTTTCCTCCACATCCAAGAAGAGAAGCCTGTCTCTGCTGCCCACCCCCGCCTGCCTGGCCGTGGAGACATACCCAGCAGGGACTGGATGGTGGTGCTGCACTGCTGCAGTCGGTCCCCAGGGTCCGAGGTTGGGAAGAATACGGCTGCCGGCAGACCGCTGGCCGGGGGATCCAGCCGGAAGCCCACGGCAGTGAGGAGGGCCTGCCAGCCAGGGATGCCACCCACTTTGTTTTCCACGCTCTGCTGGGACGTGTACATGGCGTTGCGCTGCCCGTTCTGTATGCGCTGCAGAGACTTCTCCACCTGGAGGGAACGTAAGGGGGAGGCTGCCATGCTGTCCACAGTGCTGTCCAGGCCCTGGATCCCTGTGGCTCTGCTCCTCTCAGTGTGGAAGGGGATGGGGACGTCTTGCATAGAGAGTGCAGATGAGGAGGTCTGTGCCTACCCTTCTTGTCCCGCCCCTCCTTCACATGGTCTCTAGGGCTTTGTCTGAAAATAGAGCCCATGAGAGGGATGCACCCCCCAAACCGCCCTCTGCAATGACCTCTGGAACCTACTTCCAGGAAAGCCCCCATCTTTCAGGGCCTGAACTGGTTTTTGGCACATGGGGTTGAATTCACCCTGACAGCACTATGTTCCTGCTCGAGAACATGGTCCACAGGCCTGCAGATACTCTGACCAGGCACGTCCCTGGCTGTCCATGCTCTGGTGAAAGCCAAGGTTTATCCCAAGACGCCACGTGCCATGAAAACAGGTGCTGTCCCTAGACAGAGGTGTCTGGGATATCACCTGGGATATCACCTGGGACTGCCCTTACAGTGAAACATTAGGGCACGGGAATGGGGAAAATGTGGCTCTCATACTTAACCAAAAGACCCCCCAACTCACCGCTGTTGATTCTGACTCATTAGGGGCCTATAGGAGAGAGCAGAGCTGCCTATAGGGTTTCCTAGACTGTTTACCTTTATGGAAGCAGACAGTCTCATCTTTCTCTTGTGGAGTTACTAGTGGGTTTGAATGGCCAACCTTGCATTTAGCACACTAACTATGCAGAGATGGCTTTGCCAAACATTAGCCACCGGGGCCAAGGGCACAGGCCCATTGGGAGGAGGCAGGGGTGGTAAACTTGACCCATGGCTGCTTCATCCACCAGAAGGAAAAGCTAAAATGTATGAGAATCCCCACCCACCCACCCCCCCACGTGCTTGAGAGCCACTCTGCAGAATGAGGCACAGCCGAGAGGCCTGGGGTAGGGGCTGGAGCAGGAAGGGGGGGTGGCAGGTCTAAGTGTAGGGCTGCAAAGGCTCAGGGTGCACACCTCCCTGTGGTATAGGTGCTCCTCAGCCCAGCCTGACTGTGGTCTGACACATCTACTATTAGAAGTGTGCTCAGAGACACTTCCATCTGACTGGGCACAGGGCTCTAGAGGGCCTACTGTGGCCCTCCCATGGCAAAGTGTCTGCAGGATCCTGACACCGCCTGCTTGGGTCCCCTGTGCTATGCCAGACCCTCCCATGTGTTTGGGGGTCCCAGGCACCCAGTGAGGAAGGGCCCCTTACCAGGTGCAGCAGGACTCGCAGGGCATCCCGGGCATGTTCCGGGTGCTGTAGGATCTCTGTGAGGGCCTGGCCAATGAGGGATGAGGGGCTGTTCAGTTTAACGTCACTCCCAATGAGCATAAAACCTGTGGAGGGGATGGGGATGAGGGCTCCTCAGAGCCAGAATTGCCACTGGTGCAGCTAGTGCCCTAGGTGGCCACCGAGACCTTTGTCCCCAGAAATTCACTGCCCTCCAGGCTGAAGGTCCAGGGTTCCTGCCTCCATCCCAGCGAGGGACCTGGTCAGCCTTCCCTGAAATCCACCGTTCGTACCTCGGCCTCCTCTTTGAGGGAGGGATGCATACGGGTTGCCCACTGTGGGGGCTCCTCACTGCCTGTGACTTCTAGGTAGCTGGGCAAGACAGGGGCCTGAGGGGGAGGCCCCCCCTCCTGTGACCAGGTGCTGTGGTTCCAGGTCCCCTTAATACTTCTGAGGCAGGCCCGCTAAGACCACACACAGCAGGTTTCCGGACTGTGCCAGACTCACTCCCTACAACATCGAACCTACAGCCTTCTGCCAGGGCGAACAGGACAGGCATCTTGTTCCACTGAGGACACTGAGCTTCAGAGAGGGTCTGGTACTGTCCCAGCCCACACAGCCACAAACCTCGGGTCTGTCCCGCACATCACACACACTTGATTGTGAATGAGGGGCCATGATCCACACTCACACTCTGACAGCACATGGTCCAGCTGCTCCCTGGTGAAAGGACCTGTTTCAACCTAAGAATGAAATGTGGGGGGCTGAGCATCAGCCCCACCTCCCGTACAATGAAATAGGGGAGCTGAGCTTTGGTCCCACCCCCCTGCAGAATGAAATGTGTGGGAGCTGAGCATTGATTCCTCCCCCACCTGAAGAATGAAACGTGGGGGGCTGAGCATCGGTCCCCGCTGCCTGCAGAATGAAATATGTGGGGGGTTGAACATCAGTCCCCACTGTCAGCAGAATGTAATGGGGCTGAGCATTGACTCCACCTCCTTCAGAATAAAATGTGAGGGGCTGAGCATAGGTCCCCCTGCCTGCAGAGTGAAATGTGGAGGGGCTGAGCGCTGTTCTTGCCACCCCCACCTGCAGACTGGAGAATCTGGGCAGTTGACAAGAAGCCCCTACCTGCCCAGTTGGAGGGGTGCGCGAAGGACGAGCTGCTCTGCACTGCCTTCATGGCCTCCCCCAGGGCGGCGCTGGCCTTGAGGCCGTTGAGCAGGGACGAGTAGAAGGCATGGATGAACATTTTGGAAGCAGCCACAGGTACAGGCCACAGAGACACGAGGACGCACTGTGCGCCGGCAGCCAGGAAGGCCCGTGTCAGCGCGATGACCCCGTCAGCTGTGACTTTGCTGTTGGACTCCTGAGAGGAGCCAAGGACCACCAGCTTGACCGGCAGCCGCAGGTCCAGGACATCGGCAGCCGTGAGCAGCAGCTCCTGAAGAGGCGGGCAGTCTGAGATGCTCTCCACGTCACTCGCGTCATCCTGCATCCTCAGCGACTCAGGAATCGTGTAGGGGTGACCTAGGGAGCTCCTGCTGCTGCCAGGGTTGCCGTCCATGTTGGGTGTGAGGACCAAGGCTGACAGCTTCCAGGAGATGTGGGTGGCAAAGTGGACACACTCGGCCTGCGTCAGGGCACTTGTGACCCGCTCCTTGGTGGCCACGCTGCCCACCAGGGGTTGGCAGCCCAGCAGCTCTGACACCATGTAGGCCTCCTCCTCGGCCGACGGCATTGGCCCCCACAGCCACCTGTCCATCACTGCCGCTGGGAGCCGGGGGTTGCCAATCACGGCTGCCATGGATGTGGAGCTGGTGTAAACAGGCGGGCGGCTCCTCAGGTGAGACTGCGAGGGGAGACAAGCACAGGCTGTCAGCCAGAGCCCGGGCGGCCTCACTGCTGACCCAGGTGTGTTGTCACACAGAAGGAGGGCACTTCCTGTTGCCAAGCAGTTGGGGACAGCCCAGTCAGCAGTGGGGCTCACCCCTGAGAAGGCAGGGATCTGTGAGGGCCAGCGCCATTTAAGTAGTGAGAAATGCAAGGCAACCTCACAGCAATTACCACTCATAGCGACCTTATAGGACAGACTAGAGTAACTCCATAGGGTTTCTGAGGCTGTTAGTGGCCCACCACCTTACCTACTGCACCACCAGTAAACAACTTTAATGAGATATAACTAACACAGCCAATCCACTGTGTTAATTCCAACTCACAGTGGCCTGAAGGACAGAGTGGAACTGTTCCCTTTGGGTTTCCAATGCTGTCACCTTTATGGGATCAGACGGTTTGAACCAATGACCTTTTTTGCTTAGCAGCTTAACATTCAGTGCACCACCAGCGCTCTCTAATCTTGTCGAGGCCAGGGCCAAGTTAAGTATGTTCGAAATCCTGCACTCTGAACGTTCACAGTGCCCTTATGCTTTGAACTTTAGAATGAGCACCCTGAAATGAAGACTTCAATGCTTCTGGGGAAATATCAGCTATCAAACTATTTCAAAATAACTCTGGTACCTCTTGGTGGGGCTCCCAGGTATAGCCACCAAGAGCCTGTCAGGAGATGGCTTGAGGCCCTGGGGGAGCTTTCTTACCAGCCCCCAGAGCACCAGCTGGTAGGTGTGGCCAGCTTACTTTGTGCTGGGGTCACAGAGCCCACCGTGGAAATGGGAGAAAATTATTTTACTTTGAACTGACATCAAACACTGTTACAACTAAGGTTCCCCCAAATCTAAGAGGCAGAAACCAGTCATGTGCAAAGAGGACAGGGCAGGAGTCCTCTTGGGCTGGAGGGCTGAGACCCCAGGCAGCTGTCTTCCTGTAAAAGCCCCCAGCAGTCGGGGTATTGCAGGACTGCCTGGTGATGGGAGCCTGGGTGGGGATGGGGTGGGGTCGGAGCATCAGTACCACCTAGAGACCTCTCCACCCCGAGCACTCCTGCTGAGAGACCTGGGTCGTGGCCTGTCCCCTGAAAGCTGCCTGCCTGCTTCTATTGGCCTGTTGGACACCAGTTCTACCTGTCGGCCGTCCCCTGCTGGTGCCCCATCAGCTGTACATGGCTCAGGTGGGTCAGCCTGAGGGCTGGTGGTGCCTGGGGGGGGGGCAATCAGCAAGCGGTGCTCCCACCTGACAAGTGGCTTCACACTGCTTATGTCCTGCTGTCCCTGGCTCCCCTTCTCCCCACCATCACAGCCAAGGAACTTCATGGGGAGAAGTGACAGATCACAGCTGCCTGGGGTCTCTACTCTAAAGTCACCCTTTATGATGTGCAAACTCTAAAACAATGTGAAGAGACTCAGTCCTGTCCCGAGTGAGTACGCGTGAGCCTTACCTTGGCTTGTGCGCTCAGGGAGCAAATAGAAGGCACGGCGATGAGGGTGAAGCGCTCATACAGGTACTCATTGGAGGAGCTTCCCTTCAGGAGGGCAAAGGGCATGAGGTAGAGCTCCCCTTCCAAGACCAGGACCAGCTGCCGGTGCCGGCCCACGGGGCCGCTGGAGTGCATCAGGCCCTGCCAGAAAGCCGAGACCACACTCAGTACATGTGCAGGCCAGTCTAAGGGAAGTTGTAAATCTTTATGGGAACAGAGAGCATCATCTTGTTCCTAAGGAGCTGGTGGTGGGTTTGAACCAGCTACCTTGTGGTTAGCAGCTCAATGCATAATTCACGGCACCACCACGGTGCCCTTTCAGGGCAGTGCCCAGAATGATGACGTCTGCAATCACGGGAAGGGTGAATGCTGCGTCGGGGGTCCTAAGCACAGTGTTGGACTGAAGCAGGATAGAAAGACCAGGGTGACCCGCTCTGGGAGAAGGGGGAGGGGCCAGATCCAGGTCTTTCGTGACCTTTGGGCCTCTGTGCTCCTCTGCAGAAAAAGGCCTGTCTGCGTTGGCTTCCTCCCAGCTAGGTGTCAGGGGATCCAACACCGGGTGACACCACCAGTCCTACAAAGTCACGAGACCCACTCTTTCCCGGTGTCTTCACATGAGTTTCTTTTTAAAAACCTGACCGAGATCCTAAAAGTCTTGATGAAATAAATAGGCCAGAATTGTGAAAAGTAGGCCAACACAGAGATGATGCAGATGCCACTGATGCCAGAGGGGCTGCAGCGGGGTGGGGGTCTACGGGAGCGCCTGCTCCTCATTGGTCAGCTGGGAGCAGCCCTCCACTAACCCACAACGACACTGCCTGGTGGGGCCGTCCTGTGCAAACCCCTGTGGCTGGTCACTATTTCAATTTTAGCTTCATCGAAAGCAAACAGAAATAGATGTTACCAGGCCAGTTTGCTTCTTGGTTGTCAAAACAACCATTTTCCCAGAAGGAGCTCAAGTATACTCTAGGAAGAAAAGGTGTGGGGTGGTGCTCCAGGGTGCTCAGAGCTGGGTCAGTGCAGGCAGTGGGCAGGATGGGCACCGGGGCATGGCCTTACCTTGTGGGCTACCCACTGTGGGAACCTGAGTGGCCGGGCTGATGTTCCCGACCACGGTGGACAGGTCACAGCTGTGACAGTGACAATTAGCTCAGAGCGAACAGGCAGCCCACCTCCCTGAGCCTCCTGTGCTTGGCCCCCAGGGCAGAACCCCAGCGCCCTTCTGCCGGCTGCGACAGCACATGCCCTGTGAGGGGAGGCTATTATCACCCAATGCTGGATAAGGGCAGTGTATCTTTGGAGGAATCTGACCTAAGGCACAGACCTGAGACAGCACGTGCTGTGATATTTGATACTCTAATGGAGGTGGTCCCTCCCCTCCCCACAACTTCTCCCACCAGGTTCGTTAAGAGGCCTATCGGGTGCCTCCCTGTGCCACTGAGGAGCCAGGCAAGCTGAGGACACGTCTCTGCTTGCAAGTGGATGAAGCATCTTGTAAAATACAACATGCACAAGAAGTCATTATTAAGTCTTAAAGACGGCAGCACCACAGAAGTACAGAATGTCAGCCCCGCTTGGCAGAGTCGTCCCTGGACAAGAAGCTGGAGGCCTGCCCAGGTCCCTGAGACCCAGGCAAAGCTGGAGGGGGGTGCAGTGGGTGGCACAGAGCCCAATAAGGCATGGTTCCTATGGTGGCACTGCAGGTTACAGCAGGGAGCACACACTGAGAGGAGACCAGGACACTCACAGAGACTAGGTGGCCCTGGGGACAAGGAGAGGGAGCTGTCTCTGAAATTGGGCCCTAGAAGGGGAAGCTCCTCGTACTGCTATTTCAGTGCACAGGCCTGCATCTTCCTGGGACAGCACCTTGTAGCAGACACAGAGCCCAGCCATGTAGACCATGCCCTTGTCCTGAAAGAGATTTGCTGTAATCCACTGTGAACTTGAAACGGAAAATCCAAACTACTCAATACCTTGAGAGGAACAAGGAGTAACAGCCTCTGACGCACTGTGTCAGTCCAAAGAGGCCCTCGCACGCTGTCTGTGTCCTGGGTTTAAAGACATCAGCCCTGTGCAGGTAACTGACAGTGCCCACCATGTTCCAGCAGAGACACAGACAGCCTGACCTCTAAAGTTCCCACAACAAGACAGGGAGGCTAGACTCTTGGGCCCTGCTTACTCCCAGGGCTGCGGCCCCAGCCACCACACAGTGTCACCAGGCACAGGTTCCAGGTAGAAGACTTCATGCCCTGGCAGTGTGAAGGAACAGCCGGGAAGAGGGAGCAGTGGTGGCAGACAGATCCTGGTGAGGGTTCTGCGGGGGCCTGCTGATGGGAGTGTATGAGGAAAGGCCTGGGCATGGTCCCGCTGTGATAACCCTTCCACAGTCTCTGTGCTACCAGCAAAAGGTTTCCTTCAGAGCTCTGGACTGGCTCACTCTGGTTCAACAATCTGCGCAGAATTTCCATTTCCGGCTGATGTACTGAATCATAATCTGTATTTCAAGGAGACCCCCAGGTGATTCAGACATAAGAATCACGTGGAGATTTTGTTAAAACGTAGGCTCTGATTCAGTCAATCTGGGGTGGAAATGAAAATTCTCAGCCCTGGATGGAACCGGGGTTGAAGCATTGGTTCCTTCTGTCTTCCAGTTACTCTTCCACCATAACCATAGTTAGCGATCCTGCACGGTAAACTCTCCCCATCTAGTTCCTAACTGGACGCCACTCTAGTCTGAGCTGGGCTTGCCCAGTGGAGGTGAGCAGGAGGGGCAGAGGAAGTCAGGGTCAGTCTGGTGTGTCAGGGGTTCTCAGGGATCTGGGACAGCTAGAACGAGGCATGTGGTGAGGAGGCTAGGGCAGGGGCAGGTGGCTCTGATCCTATCACGTCCTGTCCCTGGGTTCCCAAGCCCAGGGGTCACGGGGACTGGCCGTGGTCTCCCAGGCTGGATGATGCTGGTAATTCTGTGTTGTTCAGCTGTCTTTGGCACACAGACCCTGCTGTTTATACCATCTTTGTCTCCTGGGCCTCAGTGGTATTTCCAGGACACCTCATTCCATCTGCTGACGTGTTCAAAATGTCCATGTGGCTAAACATGGACACGGGCTCTCTGGAGCATCCTGCTCTGAGTTGGATGAGACGTTACAAGATCGATGATGTCACTACCCTCCTCGCGTCCTCATCTTCACATCACCATCACTGCCAGCTGTTTCCTAGGCACCACTCCACCTGACACAGGAAAGATGCCACCGATGTCCAGTGCTGTGTGCCACGTGTCCTAGTTTTGGGTTTCACGCACTTCACTTGGGAGATGTGCCCCCTCCTGCGGTACTGAGGGTGTCTACTCCCAGGGGAGGCCATGGAGCTGCATAGGGCTCCACTGCACCTCAGGCTGCGGGACCAAAGTCCCTGATTGCCGAGGGGTGGAGGGGCTGGGACATACAGAGTGAATCAGATTTGGGATGAAATGGACTTTACTGTTTACAATGAAGATTTCAGAAGCAAAGGCCCTCTGGTTTGGGATTGTTCCTGACTTGTGGTTTGAGTGAGCGAACAGATCAAACAGAATCTTTTAATGTAGAGGAAGTTTTTCTGGGCTGCTTTTGAGGAACCTTCTTGTTACGGGTGAGGCAATCGTTTGCACAAATGTCATAGTGCTCTTCTTGTTGTTTGCTGTTGCTCAGTCTGCTACAACTCATGGTGACCCATGTATAACACAGAGGCTGCTCCTAGGCCACCTTCACCATTGCTGGGTGCTCTACCCTTGTCATTCTCACCATAGTTGGGTTGTTGTTATTAGGTGCCATCGAGTCGGTACCAACTCATAGCGACCCTATGCACAACAGAACAAAACACTGCCGGTCCTAGGCCAATCTCATAATTGTTGCCACATTTGAGCCCCTTGATGCTACCATATTACCAATCCATCTCGCTGGGGGTCTTCCTCTTTGTCTCTGACCTTGCGCCTTTTATCAAACATGAGATCCTTCTCCAGTGATTGGTCCCTTCTGACAATATATCCAAAATATGAGACACAAAGTTTGGCCATGCTGACCTCCAAGGAGTACTCTGGCTGCACTTCTTCCAACACAAATCTGTTTGTTCTTTTGGCAGCCCATGGCACTCTAAATATTCTCCAACACCATAACTCAATAGTCTCAATTCTTCTACAGTCTTCCTTATTCACTGTCCAGCTTTTGCATCCATATGAGGTTATTGAAAATACCATGGCTTGGGTCAGGCGCACCTTAGTCTTCAAGCGGACATCTTTGCTCTTCAACACTTTGAAAAGGTCTTGTGCAGCAGATTGATTGTAATATATGTCATTTGATTTCTTGACTGATGCTTCCATGAGTGTTGATAGTTGATCCAAGAAGAATGAAATCCTTGACAATTTCAATCTCAAACTTCAAACTCCTTGACAACTTCATTGATAAGAATGTTGTTTATTGGTCCAGTGGTGAGGACTTTTGTTTTCTTTACATTGAGATGCAATCCATACCGGAAGGCTGTGGTCTTTGATCTTCATCAGTAAATGTTTTAAGTCCTCTTCACTTTCAGCAAGCAAGGTTGTATCATCTGCATATTGCAGACTGTTAATGAGTCTTCTTTCAATCTTGATACATTTTTCTTCATATAACCCAGCTTCTCGGATTATTTGCTCAGCATAGAGGTTGAATAAGTTGGTGAAAGAACACAACCCTGTTGCACACCTTTCTTAATTTTAAACCATTCAGTGTTGCCATGTTCTGTTCAAACAACTGTCTCTTGGTCCGTGTAGCTTCTTCATGGGCACAGTTAAGTGTTCTGGAATACTCACACTTGGCAATATTGCCCATAGCTTGTCATGATCCACACAATCGAAAGCCTTTATGTAGTCAATTAAGCACAGGTAAACATCTTTCTGCTATTCTCTGCTTTCAGCAATGATATCAGCAATGATAGCCCTCATTTCACGTCCTCTTCTGACTCCAATTTGAACCTCTGGAAGTTCTCCGTCAATGTATGCTCATAGCTGTTTCTGTATTACCTTTAGTAAAACTTTACTTGCATGGGCTATCAAAGATATTGTCCAATGGTTTCTGCATTCTGTTGGGTCACCTCTCTTTGGAATGGGCACAAATACGGGTATCTTCCAATCA